CACTCTTGTGGGACACTCTTTTCGGAAACTCTTGTGGGACACTCTTGTAGGACACTCTTGTGGGACACTCTTGTGGGACACTCTTGTGGGATACTCTTGTGGGACACGGTTGCGGGACACTCTTGTGGGACACTCATACGGGACACTCTTGTGGGATACTCTTGTAGGACACTCTTGTGGGACACTCTTGTCGGACACTCTTGTAGGACACTCTTGTAGGACACTCTTGTGGGACACTCTTGTGGGACACTCTTGTGGGAAACTCTTGTAGGACACTCTTGTGGAACACTCTTGTGGGACACTCTTGTAGGACACTCTTGTGGGACACTCTTGTAGGACACTCTTGTGGGAAACTCTTGTGAGACACTCTTGTGGGACACTCTTGTGGGACACTCTTGTAGGAAACTCTTGTGGGACACTCTTGTAGGAAACTCTTGTGGGACACTCTTGTAGGACACTCTTGCGGGACACTCTTGTGAGACACTCTTGTGGGACACTCTTGTGGGTCACTTGCAGGACACTGTTGTGGGACACTCTTGTGGGACACTCTTGTGGGACAACACTCTTGTGGGACACTCTTGCAGGACACTCTTGTAGGACACTCTTGTGGGTCACTCTTGTAGGAAACTCTTGTGGGACACTTTTGTAGGACACTCTTGCGGGACACTCATACGGGACACTCTTGTGGGACACTCATACGGGACACTCTTGTGGGACACTCAACGAGCGTTTCGTACGAGACTCCCTCCAAAAGTCACACGTCAAGCCTCCAAAACGAGCGTTTCGTACGAGACTTCCTCAAAAAGTCACACGTCAAGTCTCCAAAACGAGCGTTTCGTACGAGACATCCTCAAAACTTCCCACGTCAAAGTCTGCCAAACGAGCGTTTCGTACGAGACATCCTCCAAAAGTCAAGCGGAAACACCCATCGGAGCACACACGTCAAGCAGCCTTGCCAAGCAGTTTCGCGATTCCAGCCCCTCCAAACAACACCCGCTCACACGCCAATCCCAATGGGACAGCGACATTCACCTCTACAAAGGCACGCTTCGAGGCTGCAAGACGAGCGTTTTGTACGAGACTTCCTTCAAAAGTCACGCGTCAAGTCTCCAAAACGAGCGTTTCGTACGAGACTTCCTCCAAAAGTCACACGTCAAGTCTCCAAAACGAGCGTTTCGTACGAGACATCCTCAAAAAGTCACACGTCAAGTCTCCAAAACGAGCGTTTCGCACGAGACATCCTCAAAAACTCACTCGTCAAAGTCTGCCAAACGAGCGTTTCGTACGAGACTTCCTCCAAAAGTCAAGCGGAAACACCCATCGGAGCACACACGTCACGCAGCCCTGCCAAGCAGTTTCGCGATTCCAGCCCCTCCAAACAACATCCGCTCACACGCCAATCCCAATGTGACGGCGACATTCACCATTCACCTCTACCACAACTCGCAACCTCACGCTTCCCTGCGCCTGCCACGAATCTTTCCCCATCCACACGTCTAATGCGCACAAAGTACTGCGCCTGCCACGAAATGTCACCTCCCTCACACCTCGCAACCTCACGATTCCCTGCGCCTGCCACGAGAATCGCACTTCCACGCCTCAAAACCCGCACAAAGTACTGCGCCTGCCACGAAAAGTGACGATATCATCTCATGTGAGCTTCAACAAAATTTGCACCAAACCACACGTTTGGAATGATTTCGACCCGTTCTGAGCACACTCCCATCCACCAAAGTCGCCATTTCAGCTGAGACTTGTCACGAAAACCGCGCTTCGATGCAACACCCTGAAACGCAAATCCCAATGGCACGGCCACATCCAACACCCCAAAAACCGCTAATCCCAATGGAACTGCGCAGCAATCTGCGGATCTCATAAAACGCTGCGCCTGTGCAGCGAAATGCATCACGTTTCTTGCGTGACATGTCGGTGTCGTGCAAATCACAATGGAATCGCGGCGCAAACTGACACGTGACACATCCATGAAAAGTCACTTGCAAAAGCTTCCCCCAATGGCAGCAAATTTGAGACGCGACGACGACGACAAACGACGACAAACGACGAGAGACGACGAGAGACGACGAGAGACGACGGGAGACGACGCGAGACGACGACAGACGACGACAGACGACGACAGACGACCGCAGACGACGAGACGACGACAGACGACGAGACGACGCACGCCACGCAAACATTGCTCCAACCCCCAGACCCCCAACTATAAACGGGAACCCTTCGCTACGCATTCGGGAAAAAACAAGATTCGGTTTGAACATCAAACAAAAAGAGGCATGAGAGACAAAGGGAGGCAACGCAGAATCATCTCAGCCCAGCACCCAAGAAAAGCCATGAATACAAAGGGAGGCAAAGGGAAGCGAAGGCCTCTTGGCCCAGGATTGCTTCTATGCAAGAATTGAGAACCCCTCACAGCAAAGCTACTTGGGAAACAAAAGAACAAAACAGCGAAAGGAGGTTCATATCTAGCTCAAAAAGCAACTCGTTTGTTGGCCCCCCCAAGTGCTTAAAACTACGTATCAAACATTACTATGGCACCCCAGGCCTAGATATAAGTCACCTGGCTGCAGCCACATGATCTTATTTGTGATGATTTATATGTACAAACCCCTCTCCTCCAGGCGATCGACCAAGGAGTCTGACGAGCAAATCTCCCCTTCGTAGCCCAAGAGGAAGTAGCCGAGCTCGATCTTCCGAACCTGACGGCGAATCTCACGCTCATAGCCAGGATTTCTCCCACGGACGGTAATCTGCGTCAGCTGCTGCAAGTCCATGCGAAAGGTCCCAAAGGGTGGAATTTCAAGTTCGATGCTTCCTTCTCGGCGTTGGTAAGCTGCTTCCATTTGCGCCTGGCATTGCTCCGCAAAGTCCCGCCAGGTGCCCGCATCGTCCCATTGCCAACGCGCTAACTCTGCCATGATGGGACGTTTGCACGCCTCTCAAGACAGAGAGAGCACCTGCGCTGACACCTCGCTTCCTGCTGGAGATAGAAACTCATGAGCCAAGACAGCTTCAGCAACTTTTGGCAGTCCTGAGTTCTAGAAAGTCACCCCCTCTTCAGTATCTGAAAATTGAGGCAGTACCTTCAGTATCTACATCATGTTGCAACTTCCATCGATTTTCGCTGTTCCAATGCCAATCGATTGCATATTCGCCCACATCTCTGGGCCAAGTCTTGCAGCCTGCTGCACCTGCTTTGTAACCGTGACGAAGTGCGGAACTGAGCTGCCCCACTTGGCGATCTGAGCTGTAAGATCTGAAATCTCATCCTCAGAATCCAAGCAAAGTAAGACTTAAAAAAACACCAATAACTACTTTGTGATCTTTGGAGTCTTGGAATCTTGAACCAGAATTCAGAATACAAAATATGTTCAAAAGTATCTGGGTCTTACTGAAGTCTTGGAACCTTGGCGGAGCCTTGGCGTCCATGGCTTGTTTGGCGTCCATGCAACCTGCCCTGCACTGTCCGCTCGGTCACCCGACCTGCCGCAGTTGGATGTCACCACGATTGATCATCACCACCTGCCGCAACATCCGTCCAGAACGGCGAAGGAGAAGGCTGTTCTGGGTCGTATCACTGGCAATAGGAAGACTTCCCTGGCTGGAAGGAAGACTTCAAAAAAAGAAGACCTGTATTATATACCGTATGATTGCACTACTGATAGCCGAAATCATTCTACAAAACAGGGCTAGGATGTTCCCTTACTTTCAGGCCTTGCACGTCTTTTTTGCTAGTAGGTTGGAGGCCATCGCTAGTAGGTTAGCCGCCTCCATCGGCTGCCGACGACTTTCAGACAGCTGAGAGTCCGTGAAGCCATCAGCCTCGGTGTGGCTCCATCGGGACTTGGAACGGAGAGAAGAATCTTGATTTCCCGAGGACCCACCAGGGACGTCAACATACTAGTTGGAGGTGGGTGGGTGTCTCAAAAAGAAGAGGAGACACCCGTTCGAGAACACCACTTCGACCAGTTCATCTTTTCGGAGAAGCAAAGGCTTTTCGACCAAGCTCCCGACATTCAAGACAAAGACGGAGCCATCTTTTCCAGCAGTTGCAACCTTCAGTGGAGTGCCCAGTCACAGATGTGCCATCTGAAACATGCATAGTTCCAAGGCACGGTATGCCCATCACTGGATATGCGGAGTGCAGTGATTCCGCCATCATGCAAGCCCAACGTAGTAGTCCTGGATACATGACACGAGAAAACGTCCTGGCCCAGCACAACCAACCAACCAAACAAGATTAAACATTGGTGAGTTGTTTGTGTTGCTAAAGAAATAGTTAAAATGCTGTGCAATGGTGGTAGAAGAGCTACACCGCACCGCTGCTACACACAAGAGACTTTGTGGAGACTGGATAATCCCTGCTAAATGAAAGATACACCAAAGTTTGCGGGTCGGGTTCTAGGGTCTTAGTTTGTTGAGACGTAGCCATACAAAAAAAAAAAAATATATATATATATATATGTGTATCTCAGGCCGAAAGGACTACAAACCCTGCTCTTCATCTGCAACCAAGGTCTGACTGTGACACATTACTTATTTTGCGGCTTGCAACAGGTGCACACCATGCCTCAAAACTCCAGTGACACCACAAAAGGCCAGTAGATTCCCAGCGAGGTCGCCCGCAAGGATAGACACCTCCATTATGCCAAAGTCAGAAGAAACAAAACAAAGGACGTCTGTTTGATGTATCCTGTAAACAACATATGAGCGATCGGCAAAACTAGGGGTCGTTTGGTGGGAAGTTTTAAAGCAGCTAGCGTTTTTGGGATTGGTATCGTGTTTTCAATCCATATTTTTTTGTTTTGGGGAGGTATTGTCTAAATGTAAATTGCTCTGGAAGGTGATCTTGCAAATGATGACTAGTAGTAGTAGTAGTAGTAGAAGTAGTGGAAGTAAAAGTAGAAGTAGTGGAAGTAAAAGTAGAAGTAGTGGAAGTAAGAGTAGAAGTAGTAGTCGTCGTAGTAGTAGTCGTAGTAGTAGTAGCAGTCGTAGTCGTAGTCGTAGTCGTAGTCGTAGTCGTAGAAGTAGTAGTAGGAGTAGTAGTAGTAGTAGTGGCATGTGAGTGGGCAGGTGGTGTCTGAGGGGATACAGACCTATGAAGTGGGCATCGTTTTTGGTAGCGGTCTAAACCCATCATTGTTTCCCATCGAAGAAAGAGAAGGGAAAATTAGCAAAAACGAAATGGAATGTCGAGCTAGCATGGCAAACCATATGCACAAAATCTTGGACATACACTGTCTCGAGTGTCAACATTGTCAACAAGCAAAGATAGATTCCAAGATGTGTACCGTCACAAGGCTAGGTATCGTTTTTGGGATTGGTATCGTTTTTTCAATGAAAATGCAAATTGCTCATTTTTGTAGAAACGTGAGTGCCGACCTTTAGCACTTTGCTCATATCCAATCCACACTCGTGACTCTGATGGCCCGTCTTTTCGAGGCGAAAACCTGCTTTTGTGCGGGCTCCTATGGACAAGCTAACTGCTCCAGTGAATTTTGCGACTAACGATATAAACCTTGTTGGTACGCAAATGTGAACGCCCCACTGCTACGCACATGAATCGCCAAAAGATGACTCTGCCTCCCGGTCTGTACCACAACAAGCACCGAGTGTCCTCACTTATGGAAGGAGTGTCTTCAAGTTGGCCTTGCAAGCTACCTCTGCATCCCTGCGGCAAAACTGGCATTGCTCACCACCACAACCCCTGCGCTTCTCATCCACGCAGGCCTTCACATCCTGAGTGTCAGATGTCTCGCAAATCTGTAAATCTGTGGGGGCTGAACGGAATGCCAGTGCTGGTCGCAACGCGAAGAGATCCTGGAGGCATCCTCACGGCAAAGTTGGCATTGCACTCCCCAACATCCCTGGCATGATTTTCCATGCAAGTCTTGACATCCTCAAGCACACTGCGGGCTCTCTGCTCCATAGAAGCCTTTGCAGGGGGAGCTTGAGCTTTTCTTGCACGTCTCTGGGCTGTCAGCCCCCTGAAAGCTACTGCAGCATTTGGAGATCGTGGCCAAATCTTCGCGACACAACTGGCATTGCTCGCCGCCACATCCTTTGCACTCGGCATCGATGCAGCTTTTGACCGTCTCTTCTGCTTCTGCCTCTTGGCACATGGATGGAGGCGTCGTGGAGTGAAAGTGCTCAGTGCAACACGCATTGATCTTCGTTGCGTCTTCCATGCAAATCTGGAACTGCTCTCCTCCGCAGCCTCGACATTTGCTTTCCACACATGACTTGGCATCTGCTTCCCAGACACACGTCAAAGCCTCTGCACCATACACGCCAGCGCAAGGAGCCAATGTGGCAGATACCTGCAGCAAACAAGGCTCCTCAAGAGAATTACCACTGCCAAAAGCAAGAAGTCTAGGCTCTACGAAACCAACTTGGAGCTAAATGGCTGCAGAAAAATACCAAGCCTTGGTCCGAAAACGCCAAAAACCATTGGCCCATATTGGCCCACCATTCTGCTCAGCCGAGTAAAACCACACCCCACCAGCCAAAACCGATGCTGCAGCCCCCCATGAAAAAATGGTAAAAGGGGGCTTCTGGGGAGGATTTGTTGGTGTGTTGCTTGTTATGACTGTTATGATTATTTGTTGATGTTCAATGTGTTGTCCTTGCTGTTGATGTTTTATGTGTGGGGGGTTCTGGGGAAAATTTGGTGCTAAAAATCACTCTGTTCGGTGATAATGGGTGAGGTTAAGATTTGTTTAGGCTTGTTGTGTTTTATGTTTGGGGTTCTGGGTTTAAAGGATTGGTTCATAATATGTTTAGTTAAGATATTAAGAATAACCAGTGTCTCCATTGTTCATTATCTTTTCCTATTCCATCCCAATATTCAGATACAATCGCTTTGATGTTGTAGAACACTAAAACGATTGTATCTCTATCCATAGAGAAAAGGAAGCGGCAGAGTTGAAAGGAAAAGGCAAACATAAAGGAAAGGCAAAAGCCAAAGCGAACGCCTGATAAAAAAATCAAAATTACCCTTCATAGGGGTAAAATTTTATGAGGTTGTTTAAGTGAAAAAGTGCTTCCAAGGGATGCGAAAGATGTACGGGACAAAACCGGCATCACAGACACCAAAAGAGAGACATCCAAAGGGCGTCCTTTTCACATCATCAGCATCACCGTTGTCATCCTGAAATACTGTGATGACGCAGAGCGCATTACAGCATTTCGGATGCCCATAAGGCACACTTTCGGCGTCGTTCATCCAAAATCTTTTGTTGTCATAACTTGTCAGTCCTACTTTGGGTTTCTTTATTGAATAGATTTCATTTGATGGTTCTTGCTCCTAATCGTGTTGAAACTTACAGCGGCTTGTGTTTATGTAGTGTGTTCTTGTAATCGTTCATATCTAAATCTTTCTTCGCGGTATTCTTTGGAACACCTTTCGCTTTCTTCTCTACCTTCTTTTCATTGAAGACTTTGAGGCAATACATTTTTGGTCTCAATGCTATAAAGTTTGTTATGACTTTTCCATCCATCTCATCCTTGAATTTACCGAGGACTTTTTTATTAGTAGGGCCATAGCACGGATGGCTCTTATCATAACCACTGAAGTCCATATACTCTTTTATTTCTTTCCTGTCTTCGTAGATGACTTCAGTAAAAGTTTGTAGAACATAACTGTCGGTGTCCGTATAGATTAGTTTGATGTTCTGCTCATACTTCGCTTTGAGGACATCATAGAAGAAGGAATACATATGAACCTTTGAAAGGTCTAATATAGACATTCCCAAGTATATAGGTTTGTTCAGTTTCAAGACTGCTTTTATCTTCTCAGCTCCTACCAGTTCTTCGTTGATGACGTGGCAGTTTTTGTAGTTCGGATTGTTGATACACTTTTGCATTCGTTCCTGTGTTGATACTAATTCAAAGTCTATGTGATTTCTAACATTTTCCATCGTTTTTCCATAGACAGCGTTGTTCATTAACTTGAACATATCTTTTTCAATATCACTCTTCGCCTCTTTCCGCTTTCCGGTGTTAAAGTCAATCCACAGTTTCAACCAACAGCGTTGTTTGAACTTCACCGCTCTATGTATCTGTTTCAGTTTCATCCCCTTGTTCAGGTAATACTGTAAAGCCTTGATATGGACTACATACTTCTCTTTGTCCATAACATTCAGTATAAGTTTTGGTTGCTTCTCGCCCTTTGCTTCCTTGCCGTTGTAGTAGGGTCGGCGTAGTGTCATCTGATGTTCTGAAAGGAACTCTGCTTTCACATTCATATTTTCAGGCGCTAATGGATAATCTGAATGTTCATCGTGTAGTTCCTTTGGATATTCTAAATCCACTTCCAGTATGTAGATATTGTCATCGTTCTCGTTCCAGTCCACTATGTTCTTTTCAGTCAGCATCTTCTTTATCCACTTGAGTTTTCCTATCGCTAGTTTCACTGACATTGCCAGTCCATACAGGTTATTAGCATCTAAATAGTTGATGAAATTTGATGCCTTTGTTTTATCATAATCTTCACCCATATACTTGTTGTTCGCCTTTGCTTCCTTATGACTGACTTGACACATACCACCCCGAAGTCCCTTCTCAATCATCTCATACATCTCTTGGTCGGTCAAGGGGTCTATTTCAACACCAGTCTTTAGTAGCTTGCGAGGCTTTCGCATCTCTAACCTTCTTGTCTCCGTCTTTAAAGTCGTTGCCACAAATGAAACATTGTTTAGCGGCTTTAAAGTCCCTCCAGTCATCTGCTCTCATAATTATCTCCTTGTTTTCCTTCATTCTGTTCTGTTCATTAACCTGTCCTTAATCGCAATCACTTTTTGAACGAACACGTCCATACAATCCTCACCTCTGTATAAGAACGGGTCGGATGACCTGTCAATTGCATTCACTACAGAAATCATAAAACCGCAGGGTCGGTGATGTTGGTATTCGTCAGTCTTGAGTTCTTTAGCGCTGACTGTTCCCGTCTTGGTGGTCAAGCATTCAAAGTCAGCATAGATGACGAGCGGCGCTTTTAACTTTTTGTAGTGATTTTTGAAAACCATTGTTTCGCTTTCATCAGGCATTTCAACCGTTTGTCCTTCAACAGCCATACAACCTTTTTCATTATGGTCTTTCAAAAGGTCTTCCGATTGAAAGCCGTGTCCGCAGTGAAAGCAATGATGTTTCTGCGCTTTCTTTTTGTTAGTTTGAGTTCCTATCAACCTGTCGTAGTTCTTTATGAAAACATAGTGGGATTTGTTCCCTTCCTCCAGTTTGAGTAGGTTTATTTGGTGAGTTGCTTTTGACACCTTGATTCTTCTGTATAGTAAGATTGACTGTTTGCCTTCATCCTCATCAAAGAAGAAGACATTGACGGCTATGTTGCCATTTTTGTTTTCTTCAGAGGTGTCTATGTGAATGTTTGACGTTGGAAAATTCACATTGTCCCAGTTCAGCATATCTTCAATCTTTCTGTAGTGATACAGTCTGTTCGGGCGGTCTTTTTCAAACACCTTATGGACACCGCACTGAACGGAATACTTGAAACACATATCGTCTTGGTTTTCAATGTTGATACAGGCTTTTGTGGTCTGAACCCATTTAGGAAGTTCAATGAATGAACCTCCACGTGTAGGATTATATTTGTCGTGACTGAACTTGATTTTATCAAACTG